TATTTTTGTTAGGAAGTTTATTATGGATCATTTTACTGTGAAATTCATACGTCAAAACACCAATTTGTAGTTGATAAATAACTAAAACAAGAAAGATATAGACTGAACTCGTTTGCTCTCTAGATAATAATTATATGAAGTTCTAATATTAAATACCTTTTTTCTTTTTGGAGATTGACTTTCTTATTGGCTTTGGAAATTTAGGCCTTTTTTTTGTTCCATATAATATTCTCAATTTTCTATTCTCCTCGCATATTTTTGTTCTCAAATCAATGATACTTATTTTTCTAGAATCATATTCCAATTTGTAGTTTTCAATCACTTGCAAATATAATTCCTGAATATATGATTGTATAGCTGCTGCATCTTGATCCGTAAGAACCATCTTACAATCTTGTACCTGACCAAAACAAAAAATATATTCTGTTAATTGCATTCTTTTTTTCAGCTTTGTCGAGTCCAGATTATTATAATTGTATGCAAAAATTGATAACAAATGATTTACTACAATTTTTTTATGCAAATTTATGGATTGACAAATGTTTTATTAAAACTTTATAGCATAGAATATTATGGTTTTGCAGCAAGATTTGAACTGAAACAGAGCTTTATTTGTTATAGGCAAGCACTAAAATGGTTTGGCAACAAAGAGATTTTCAAACAAATGAGACATTTATTATTATAACTATGAATAAATTGTTGGTTTGACAATGGTCTACCAAAAGTATATCATGCATTTGTTGATTTGACAACTGAGAATAACTTCGACTCTGACATTATAACCAAAAAGATACTTGCATCTATTACAATTATACTTATATTATGGTATTCTAATTAACTCGTCACAATTCTATAGGCCCATTATATATAAATAAATGGTTCATCAATTAAATTTTGATCTCATGGAAATCTTAATCGATTACAATTCTAATGAAAAATTATGAAGAACCACGAAGTTTTCAATTTGTACTTTATTGGTTTTCCAAGAATTTATATAAATATTTTCAAGAATTAAAATCATCAAATTCACCTATATTAAAAAACTTTAGTAATTTGAATTTGATATCACAATCAATATTCAATTTAACAATTACACAAAAATAGTTCACAGAAAGAATATATTCATCACCTTTTATAGGAACTACACTGTAACTATAAGGAGCAATCGTTTCATCCAATTGTATATATCTACATTAATGAACAATAAAATAAAGATGTAAGAGAAATACATCAGTAAGAAGCATATAAATATTATTATGTATAAATTATTTAAGAAATGAAAGCAGTACGATATAAAGAAACAAGAAAATCTAAACCTTAAAGTAGATCAAACACACCATACATAAGATAACAACAATCTAACGTTCAGATAAATCTCTCTCTCTCTCTCTCTCTCTATATATATATATAGCAATGTTATTAATTTCAATAACCAGTCAAACACAATGTTCTACAACATATACAATGTATGAGTCCATTGAATTTCACATAACTATATATATATATTTATAAATGCCATGCATTATACCTCACCATTTATTTATAGGATCAGATTCATCTCACTTGCAATTTATTAAGAGCAATACATTAATGAGCAAATTAAAATTTACAAAATAAATCATTAGGAAATTAATAGTTCGATATATTTTTATATCATGAAATGTTTATATTTTTTTTAAACAATAATGAAACCATGAAGTTCATAATTAATTATAGTTGTTAAATTATTAAATATTTTGTTTCTATTTTAAATGACTACAATAAGTTTTTTATCAGGTGTAATTATATTCGAAGTTGAATATCTTCTGCTTGGTTAAAACGTTGTCGTTTAACATGTTCATCGTCTTTGAAAGCAAATTAGGGATTAAGGGTATTTTTTCCGTTGATTTTGTAATCACAATTGCACTTCAAAAGCTTTCGTATGTATTAACAAACTGAATTACATTACTTTACTGACTAAATTTATTGTTTTTATCGACTCACATCATTGTTCAACTCTGTTTTTACTTGCATTAACCAACAATTTGTGGGTAATTTCAGTTTTTCTAACTGGGTTTTATTTGCATCTCATTTTTCTGTTTAACAATGTTGCTTGTAGAAATTCCTAGCACAATCACCTGTGCTAATCTTTTGCAATTCTGAAAACATTACAATATCGACAACAATTTTGATTTATTACCATGAGATGGTTTTAAATTTTTTGTAGATCCGCATCCCCCGCCTGGGTTTTTCACGTTTTTTGAAAATTTTCTCCAGTGTGATCTTATTCCTCCTTTCTCTTCATTTGTCGAAGAAGTCATGGTTTCCTATAACATTACACCCAGTCAACTCCATCCCAGTGCTGGGAAAATAGTTTTGGGTTTTGAAGCTCTGTGTTTGATGCTAGGGCTGCAAAAAAAAATAAAAATAATAATAAATAAAAAAAGGGAAACCAGACCGAAACTGGACCAAAAAAACCAGTTAACTGGTTAACCGTTTTCTGTTTCAATTTCAAAAAATGGCTAAACCAGTTTTCCGGTTTGGTTTACGGTTTATCTTATTTTTATAACCGGTTAACCGAAACTAGTTTAATAAACCAGTTTTCCGATAATCCTAATATAATAATATTATTTTAATTTTTAAAAATATTTATTATCTTTATTAGTTTGAATCCCTAACTTCACACTCGATACTCCTCTCAAACTCCAGTAGTTGCCGCTGCCCTCTCAAACTCGTCTTCTTCTTCATTACATTTACTCGTCTCTCCTCCTCCCGTCCTCTCCTCTCAAACTCGCTTGTTTTCTCTGTCTTCTTCTTTATGCACGCGCCATAGTGCAACATTAGCAGCTGGGGAAGTTGTTTTGGCTTTACATCAATGTGATTATGCTCTTTCCACAGGTTGGTACTCATTCCTTCCTCTTGAACCTTATTTTAGCTGAATGGAAATGCATTTCAAACATATAGTTTTTTCATACTTGCTTGTCATCTTATTTGGTCCTTTTTTCATGTTTAATTCTTGATGGATCAAATTGCCAGAAATTTAAAACTCATGAAGTGCATCATTAAGTTTGACTGATGTTTGGAAAGAGGATACAGGTCATAGCTGGTATAGTTCCTGGTATTGAGAAAGCCTGTCTCTATCGTGGGACATTGTCTTTGGAGATATTGGAAGTTTGGAACACCTGAACAGCAAGCTCTAGCTTTAAACGCAGTCAGGGACACCATCCTTGGGATCTTTCTTATTGTTGTTGTTGGCTATGATAATTTCTTGCTTACTCTTGATATATGAAATATCAGTAAAAGATTTACTTGTCTATTTGCTTCCTAATATGCTATTTGTTTATACAATTCTTAATTAATTTTATGTCTCCCATACAAATACTTTTAGGTGTCAAATATCATGTCTCCAACAATAAAATATCATATTTACCTTAAGGAAATTCATACTGTGTAACATTTGGGCAAGCAACAATAAAATATCGTATTCGTATAAGCTTATGATATTTAAAAAGATCATTACATTGTTTTAGGCAAGCAGCACATTCCAAAACCATAGAAGAATTAGATGCCATTAATGTAGATAAACAGATATACCTTACCTGCTTGGTGAATAGATTTCAGCTGTATTGCTATATATGATTGATGGACCGATGAAATGATTTATATAGGCAGATTATCATTATATTATATATATAAAAGCAATGTCTTATTTAATAAAATGTATCAAATTAAAACCATTAATTATACATGATTTTGATAGCCCTCTATGATTATATTAAAGTGTACGTATGTAATGCCTGATAATTGCTGGATAAAAAGATTCGTACTACTTAGTGGTTCAACTTGCAAATAATCTTTTTATATTAGAGGTTGATATTAACTTGTGAATTTTTTTATATGTTTCCACACATATACTCTTTTTAACTCTTGGATGATTATGAAACTAGCCTCCATGAAAGTAACTAGTATATGTGTTTTCCATTTGTCTTCAGTTTTTTATTGATTGCGTCCTACAAGCTTTATTGATGTCGTCGACTGGTGACAATACTCGTGCTTTTCAGACATCAAGTGACATTCATTCACCGAATCCGACACCTGCAAATGCAGTTACAAATTCAACTACTTGCACGACACCAGCACCATGTCCAACCCAAAAACGTGGGACTTCTATTACTCAAAGGAAGAACACTTCATAAATGTGGGATCACTTTACCAAGATTTATTCTGAGAATAAGGATAATGCCACTGCATCATGTAATTACTGTGGGAATGTTCTAGCTTGTCCAAGTAAGAGTGGTACAAGTTGTCTGCATAACCATTTAAGTAGGTGTAGAAAGTATCCCTTGAATGTGGTGGACAAGAAGCAAAAGAGATTAGTGTTTCAACAAGCACAACAGGCACGTGGTCAGTCGAGTGGTGCTCCACATTCTTCACTTTTGACTTGAAAATTTGACCAGGATGCGCTTAGACGGGCTTTAACTAAAATGGTCATTCTTGATAAGTTACCTTGTAGGTTTGTTGAGCGTGAGGGGTTTCAAGAGTTCATGAGTATGGCTCAGCCAAGGTTTGAAATTCCTAGCCAAACAACGGTTGCTTCAGATTGTATTAGAATATATAATGAAGAGTGCCAAAAGATGAAGAAGTTCTTTGCTAAGTTTTTACAAACAGTTTCTCTCACCACTGATACATGGACAAGTTGTCAGAACCTCAATTATATGTGTCTGGCAGCTCACTTCATCAATGAAAACTGGGTTTTACAAAAAAGGATTATAAACTTCTGCCCCATTATCAGTCATAAAGGTTTAGCGATTGGCAAGGCAGTGGAGAAGTGTTTGCTTGAGTAGGATATTTCTAAAGTTTTCACAATCACTGTTGATAATGCAAGCTCTAATGATGTTGGAATAAGTTATCTAAAGACTTGGTTGGGAAGTTGGAAGGGGAGTGTCTTGGATGGTGACTTCCTCCACATGAGATGTTGTGCTCATATATTGAGTTTAGTTGTAAAAGAAGGATTAAAAGATATGGAGGACTCCATATTTCAAATTCATTTGGCAGTGAGGTACGTGAGGTCTTCTCCGGCAAGGTTACAGAAATTTAAGGAGTGTGTGACAAAAGAAAAAATTGAAAGTAAAGCTCAGTTGGTTCTCGATGTTGAAACAAGATGGAATTCCACATACTTGATGTTGGAGGTGACAATAAAATTTCAGAAAGCTTTTGAGTTGTTGGAAATAGAGGATAGTAAGTATTCAGATGAGCTTAGTAGTGGGGAAAGGTTTAGGGGTTTGCCTACATGCATTGATTGGGAGTATGCACGATACTTCTTACCTTTTTTGAAAGTCTTTTATGATACAACTCTACGTGTCTCTGGCTCACTTTATGTCACTAGTAATGCTTACATGCAGGACATTTTTGGCATTGGATTGAAGATTTCAAAATGGTGTAGAAGTGTAGATCCTGGGTTACATATTATGGCTCTAAGGATGAAGGGGAAATATGATAAATATTGGTCAAATATTGATAATATCAACCTCATGTTATTCATTGTAGAGGTACTAGATCCGAGACACAAGTTAGAATATGTGAATTGGGTTATTAATGAGTCTTTTGATATGGTTCTTGCTGATAGGTTGAAGGCAAAAGTGAAGGAAGTTTTGGTGGCTTTATTTAAGCAATATAGTTCGTTTAAGGTGGTCCTTAGTGCGCAACCAAGTGAGCAGACTCGAGTTGCAATGGAGATTGATGTTGATGATGTAGATCTTGATAATGAGGAGTTTATGAAGGCTATGTATCAAGAGAAACAGGCTAGAAAAAAAGTTGTGAATCACAAAACAGAGTTGGACAAATATTTAACGGATGATTGTGAAGATGACAACAAGAGTTTTAATATCTTGCAATGGTGGAAGTTAAATTCAACAAAATATGGAGCTCTGTCTATGATAGCATAAGATGTATTGACTATGCCTATCTCTACCGTTGCATTTGAGTCAGCTTTCAGTACGGGGGGTCGTGTATTGGATCCATTTTGTAGCTCCCTCACTCCTAAGATGGTGGAGGCTCTTATTTGTACATAGGATTGGGTTTGGGCTTCGCGTGTACCATTCATCATAGAGGAGAGCTTGGACGAAATATCAAAACTTGACATGGGTAAAATTGTTCCTTTACTTTTAATTTTTTGGTTATTTATTTGTTGTTTTTGTTAAATATATTTTGCAAATATAACCTATCTAATGTGCTTGTCCAATTATTTGTAGAAATTGCGCGTTTCGGATTGGAAAGCACAAGTCATATGGATGATTGAACGACAACCCAATATATGAGGTATATTACTTTTGATTTTTTGTCTTGTATTTCAATGGGCGCTATACTTAAGAAAAGTAAACAAGATTATGATCTCATTTCTTAATTATTTTATAAGCTGGTTGTTAAGATTGGTTGATCAATAAGTATTCAGTTTGACATGTTTGATTTGTTGAGTAATTGACATGGCTTTGGGACTCATAAAAGGGAATAATTTTTCTGTATTAAAGACTGTGACAGAGAAAGAGAGAGAGATAGAGGATTAAGATTAATTTTGTCATTTGTGATTACTGTTAAGGGGCAGAAAATGAGGCAATGTGCAATGTCATGAGCTTTTTAATATTAGATGTAGTGAGCTTGTCTCTTTCGATAATTCTTCTGTATAAGAACATGAAGATGAAAACCAGTCGATACATAATCTATATTTTATTTAGTTGTTCACCAAAAGTTTTCCAGGCTGCACTTGAGATTTTTACTGACATTAAGTGCCAAGAAATAAAATTTTGTCAACCCTCAATCTGTATTTATAAGCTAATAAGGAATAAAATTAGTTTGGTGAAATTAAGTCACCTCGCTAGCTACCTATAAGGCTATAACAATAAAAGTCAAATGGGTTGAGTACAAATCAGTTAATAACTTTAAGATACCATAAACAAGAATCCTATGGAATCATTCACTGTATCATATTATTTATGTGTTTATTTTATTTTTCTGTAGTGACATTTGCTGAAAACCAAATGCATTCTCTTTATTTAGAAAATATTAAAGCTGATTTCAGTTGCCTTTGTTGTTGATGGTGAAGGGGGCCTAATTTAAGGAATAGAAACTAATTTCATATCTCCTCCCCATGCTTCATGATTATTTTTTCATTATAATGTTGCTAGGATATCATTTAATAATTGTTGCAATAAATCCATTTGCATATTCTATTATCATATTTGGCCTTAATACATAATACCAATCCATTTAAATTATTAGTTTTTGAAAGGTAATAGAGAGATAAATATAAGTTTTGCATTCCTCTTGCAGGTGATTCCATGATTGCACTAGGCCAATCGAAGAATGCTTGAGCCTTAAAGTGGAGGGGAGATGCCAGTTTACAACTTTCACTTGTTATTTCTTAATCACTTTTGTACTTGACCATTAAAATTTAAAGGAACAGTTTGTATTTTATGATAATGTAATTGTTGATTATTAGTTATTATGCTTGGATGAGAAGAATTCAGTAGCATTAATTGGTGATTAATTGGTCAAATTGTTGTGGATCTTTTGGTTTTTTGGTTTCTTGAAATCTTGTCATCCAAAAATAGGAAATTTTTTTATAAAAACATATAAAAAAAGGCAAAAAAAAAAAAATTTATTAATAAAACCGGTTCGCAAACCGGTTAACCGGATTGCAAACTAAAAATCCGAATCGGTTTGCAAACCGGTTTATGCAAAATCCGGACTGGTTTCGGTTTGCAATATGGCTTGAACCGAAAAACTGGTTCGGTTACAAAAAGCATGTATCCGGTTCGGTTAACCGATTTTTGCAGCCCTATTTGATGCATTATATTCTACACATGTTTTATATTTTTAACTACTTCTATGCATTGAAAAAGAGGTCGAATAGTCCGTTCTATTTTATCGAGGGTAGAAAAGGTCGAGGATTGTTAACTGGATTATCAAATAAAGTGCTTGGATGGAATGATAGATATTTTCTATTAGGTTGCAAAAAAGGTTGGGGTGGATTACCCACAGAATGGACAAAAGCTAAAATACCCCACCACAATCTCGGTAAAATAGATGTGAACGAATCTGGCATCCAGACATTGGAGAATTTTATTCGCAATCAACAAACATTTGATGTTTTTGATATGTTGGAGAATACTCAATTCTTCAATTCAAAAGAGGTATTACAATTTTTTGTATGATCAGTTTTCATTTATTTATTAATTGTTTCTCATGTAGCTTTTTTTTCCCTGGTTATAGTGGATATCGAAAAAGCTTCCCCAAATTCAACAGCTTCAATATCAACTTCTATGCCCAAATTGATGGGCCCTATTTCTACAGCACCATCTACATTTGAAATTGAACATAAAGATGAACATATAGAAGAGCTGCCACTAATCAAGCGAAGCAAGTGTAAAAAGGTGTGGGATGAGGAAGCTTAAGTTTCAATTCCTCCCAACAGTTTAAAGACAATGTCTAAAAAAGATCTTGAAGAACTTACATCAGAAGAGGTGAATTCTGTGATTTAAAATTGATGAATTTGGTTTACTTTTAGTTTATTAATTTTTTTTTATATTATTGTTGTTGCTGTTGACATGTTTGTGGAATAGGAGTTACGGCTTATTTGGATATCAGGAGCTGATGGTTGGCCTCCGATAAAGTCATTGCAAATTTGAAAACAAACAAACAAAAAAAATTTGTTGTTCACAGGGCCAAAATCACAAAGGAAATAATGGATTCAAAGAAACAGATGGCATAAGCTATGAATGAATCGGGGTTTCATAAGAAGAAATTATCAGTCATTGAACAATCATGTTCAAATGCAAAGTTAGAAAATTATGTTCTTGAAAGAAAGGAGAAAGAATTGTTGGACTGCAACAGCAAGCTGAAATCTACCCTTGTTGTAGTTGAAAAGGAAAGAGATAGAGCTTTTGATGTTGTCTTATGTATGTTTTTGAACACTCGAGAAGTCTGTTGTGATGCATTTAAGTCCAGATTTCCTGATGAAGATTTCAGTTTCTTAGAGAGTTTGATTCTGCAAGACGAAGAGAGAGATCTGTTAAAAGAGGATTGAAATGTCGATGTTTGTGGTAACAACGGTAACTCAGTTCAGACCTTGAGGTTTCCTGTTACTTATGCTATGTTTTGAGAGATTTGGAATGCTAATCTCGAAGAGGAATTTGCTTTAATTCATGAAATTGTTGATAAGTATAATTACGTAGCCATGGATACTGAGTTTCCTGGCGTTGTTTTGCATCTGGTTGGGCCTTCAGTATAGAAACGAAATAACAATATACTACTAGACTGAAAGATAATGTTGATTTGAAATTGATTCTATTGGGGGCTAATGTTTTTGGATGAGAATGGAAATTTACGTGCTGTGGTTTTCAAGTCCATGTGAGTGGTATTGAGTTGACTTAGAAGAATAGTGTGAAGGGTATTGATGTGAATCGATTTGGTGTCGCTTTTTGCTTCTCACAGTCCTGATTCCGTCGGTCCCCCCTGGCCTTGAGCAGACGCTGGGTTTTCATCCTCGATTACTTTGTTCCCATAGGATGATTTGGTTCGTAAAATCCTGAGTAGGGGTAGTTAGTAACAGATGTACTAACTATAACTAGCTCACTGAGTACATCGCACTGGATTACTCTTAGACTAGGTTGGATGTGACAAGCGGATATTAAATAGATTGGAAGGACAATTGCGAAGGCTTAAAAAGGAATGTGGTTTTAAGACAATTAACAAGGAGGAATAAGGAACAAGAGGTTAAAAGAAGCGAAGAAAAAAAAAAAAAAAAAAAAAAAACAATTTATGAGAGAATAGAGATTTGTTTAAATTTTTAATATCAAAGATTACCTTGTGTAGAATAATTTACCAGATTTAGCAAATGGTGTAGTCGTCTAGGTATGTAGTCATCTTATCAGAACATTCATTTGAACTATAATCCGTTCTAAGATCAGCAACAATAGCTTACATGGTCCCGACAAATTTTCAATAAAGCATCAATCATATCGTTGCATTTTTCTCTTGTACCATTTAGATTTCTATGTTGCTGTGAACATGGGTAGATCGGTTTGAATCCTTTGTCTGTCACCCTGCCCCACCAACAGGTTAAAAAAATGAATTTCAATAAATATTTGAACATTGCAGAAACAATTGCATTATAACTGTATATATAGATGATAATATAAGTTGAATTCCAAATTAATAATCAACAAATAACAAGTTCATAATTTTCTATTTAGTTTTATATTACACAAAATTTTTATTACCTTCTCTCTTGACGCTTTCCCATTCCAAGTTGCTCCTCATTTGCAAAAAGCAAAGTATCCTTTGCTTTCAACATGACGAAAATAGCAACTATAGAATTCATGACCTCGACCAGCAAATTCATCATGCCTTATTTGATTTTTGTTTTCATAGTATTTATATCATGACTTGTGATCGATGTCGTTCAAAACTATTTCAAGTCTCCTCTTTCTCCAGCCATTATCGAACCAATTAAAGATAAAAGAGATAAAGAGAGTCTACAAATGTATAGAAGTTATATTAAAAAAAGTTGAGATTGATACTTATATATACATATAGTTTCGAGAAGAGCTTAAATAAGAAGAGAAAATGAACATATGGAAAAACAAAGACGTTTTCTATTAAATGAGTCAACGATTGAAGAACCTGAAAATATCAAAAACCAACCGAGGTGATATGCCACTGACTTGAAACGTTTCATTGATTTAATAAATGATTACATCTGGAAAACCATCAAAGAACTAGTAATAAATAAGTATAATGATAAAAAAAAGAAAAAAATTGTTCGGTTTTTTCAAAAGAAACAATAATATATTTAGTTAAAGTCCATTGTTTCATACAGCAGTTACATCTTGATATTAGCATAACAATTTGTTCAATAACCAAGGTAAGAATGTTATGTCCAATGATG